TGTGTGTGTGTATATACTTATATATTGATAAATATATATATATATATATATACAAATATATATATATATGTATATATATATATATATTTGTGTTTAGATATATTTATATCACAATCACTACTCGTGTTCTGCGATGTGACTTCACTTACGTTACATGGATTCACAAAATATTCATATATACCTCCAGATCTGTTACACGTGAAATTCGATAACTGGGGAATGTTTTTTACAGACGTAAACTTTCAGAGCAATCAAATCACATCTCAGTGTAGCAAGTAATTTGACAACCTCTCTAGTAGTTGGAAAGGTAAAAGCATGGCTTCATTCAATTGCCCCAGCAGTGGATACCATGTATTCTTCCATGCGAGTGTTCGATAATAGGAAACGGTTACTCATGTGAAACGGCTCTATAACACCACAGACGATCAAGACAGGCCTATAGGCGTCGACAATATGGCCACTCACCACGAGAGACGTACGCACGTGTACATTCTGGGTAAAGATATGACAACATTTGGGCATATTCACTTTGAAGATTTTCCAACGCTGAATAAAGAAACAGACATGGTAGCAGGTAAGTATGGCGGCTGTTTATATGCTACTTCTGGACAAAGTACTTGCAGTATTTCGTGGAATTTAGGATATAGTCGCATGTCCGATGTAGCATGAGGCATAGTATACTGAGCGAGTTTGAGAGGTACACGTGTCTCTCTGCTGCCAACATTATAAATATGGACTTGCAGACAATCAAGAGTGTAATTCCGTATTCCGTACTTCGAGAGTGCATCTAGCTGTTTGAATACATTTTCATTTACTCGATTGTGACAAGCGTGAACACTAAGAGAAGAAACAACTTCTATGAAGTGACCCTAGTTTGTTCGATCGGGATATTTGTTATTGTGCAAGGCTACAGCTGAGTGGGTGCATATTTTTGATTTTTTCTTCGTGTAGGTATATACAGAGTAGCTTTCACCTTCCCGGCGAATGGTGAATACTTTCTTGGATTCAGCGCGATAACTTACAACGATGATGGTGAGGTACGTAATATGTGTGATTTTCCTCATGTTTTACTTTTTCACGGGTAGAATGAAATCATATACATAGAAATATTTTGGTGCTATGGTATGGACTGTCACAGCTGTATGCGGCCGAATCCACTACTAAACTGCCTTTATTCTCCATGAATACCATATAGGAGGCTCTTATACATCTCGAAGAGCTCGTGGAGGTCGATACAGGGGATGAGAATCTGACTATGAGTGATTTCGATGCCTTCAAGGCTCTCAACAAGCAAAACGCAGATTTGATTAATTATGTTCGAGGGGTGCCGCCCCATAACGTGTTTAGAGTGCGGGAAAGGTACGTCTCGTGTTTGCCGAGTTGCTATTGCAATAGTACGTTCGTATGAAATTGTTGTTCAGAGAGAACTAACGTGTTTATGTTTTTGTCCTGGTGCCCTTAGTGGGCTGTGAAACATGAACTGAGTGTTGTAAGTTGTATCTTTGTTTATTAGCTCGTTTTCCGGAGTATGGATAAGTACAGACTCGATTGCAAATTTCCGGAAGCGGACACACATAGCCAATTTTCGAGAATTATCTTACATACTTCTTGAGCACTCGCAAATAGGCGATTCGCCGTCCTTGACTCATACGATTTCCACGACTTCGCTGCAGATATACACACCCCTTGACACTGATCGAGCCCGAGCACACGGCTCTCAAGACTGCCAAACAGGCATACGCAGTGAAACTGTCTACTGCCGATGGCAAGTTTGTTGTCGGCAGAGATTACGAATTCGCGCTGTCGTATCAGAAAAAGGTGGGCGATACATGAAGGTTGGGGCACGTGAAGTCGCGGGCCTCAAATAGAAATAACAGCTCTTGATAGCACACCCTGAAACAAGTATATAGGGTATACTAGAACATATTTATGTGTGCGGCCAATGTACCTGTACATCACGAGTTTGTACTCATTAGTATTGGGCACGCATACGCATTTCTAGCTTGGTCCATATTGGGATGGATAGGATATATTGTATTTGATGCGTGTACTACTAATTCTGGTCGCGTTCCATGCAACCCACCCGCTCACACTGTGTCTGTTTTTGGTAGCGCTTATCTGTTTGATATCTTACTACTTTGAAGCTTAGGTTGTCTCGACACCAACCGGACAGACGAAGAGAAGGGGTTTTATATGTACTGATACAGCTATTCTGTACGCAATTACAAGACATCTACTCAAATTGACTCTCGTAGAAACGACTCAAATCGACTCGGATTTTCAGCTTTCTTATGTAAGAGGTACTACACTACAATACAGCTATCCAGGTGCTAAAGTTCTTGTTCATGCCTCCCCTTGCTTTGTAGGGTCCGTGTGTTGATGGTAAAGATGTTGGTACAACATTACCCTGTTTCTACCGAATGGAGACGCTGGCAAAGTACCTCAGTGCACCTGCGCACATCGCTGTATTCCACGAGGACCTTCAATCTTTTCTTCATCTGCACGCTGCAGCGTATGTCATATTGTTTCATGTGACGATCTGAGTTTGACAATCACGTATGACTTTATGTTGTAAGGTTTGTACCGAACTTCTGCTTTGGGTCAACCACCTTGTACATACCTTTGATAATGACAATGATCTGCAACAGTACAGTACACGGCCAAACATGTACATGCAATGTCGGGCCGGTGTATACGCTGACAATAGAAGGTCCCAGAACGTGGTCAATTTCGCTACTGTATAGTATCGCGTATGCTCACAGTTGAACGAAGGTGCGATACTTCAGTCTTTGAATTTAGATTTGTGGTCCAGCTTTTCTGCTTGATGGCTTCTTGTGGATGCAATTTGATAGAGTGATTTGGGTATAAATGTGTCTTTGGATTCTTCTGTAGCGATACATACAACGAATTCGCTAGGTAGAGGTGTTGTTCTGGCAGAATGAAAATCGGCAATTGTCCAGTATCCGACCAGGTTGTCTTACACATACGCACGCTTCATTTTACTGATTTAGCACTGCTGTCGTCAAATTTTACTAATCTCTTGTTTCAATTTCTTGCAGTATAAATAGCGAATCCAAGGAAGCAGATGAAATAATTCCAGTGATTGTGGGCGATCTAGCCAATGGCGACGTTGAAATAGAGGTAAATTGATTGATACTAAATATCTATTGATAGAAAGGCAACATACTTTAAATCCTCGAAGCCAGACTACAATAGCTAAGTCAATAATCGGACGGCAATTCTTTCCTAGAATATTTTATTTGCCATGGTTGACCAATATGATTTACCATTCTCCCCCAGGTGGTTGTTTAGGGTTTTTGGTTGTCATGGTATTAACTATTTATTCAATCGTGATTTTTTTGCCCACAACAAAGTTTGCTATCAATGATAATTCCCATTGTGGTACGACACTGCATATGGTGGCTTTCTTTTGGTTAAACACTACTATATGCAATACTGAGTTCTCTGAATGTTTCTCGCCAATGTACAATCCATGGCATTCGAGAAGTTTCTTGAAAGATCTGCCTCTGCTCAAACTATTTCTCGGAAAAAATCGCTTGCAGTTTGTAGATGCCGCAGAGATTGACCAAGAAGAGTCCGATGAGATTATGTCTGACAATATTGCTCAACAGAGAGAAGATGAGATGGAGGCAGAAGAAGAAAGAGAAAAAGACAAGGAAGCTGTATGTTGTGATTGAGACACCAGTGTATATACGTGCTCGGAACGCTTGTTGATCGTGCACTGAAAGTTCCACTTGCAAAAGATGTAGATGCATGCTTATGAGTGAGAAACTCTGGTATAAATGCGCACCACAGTTTAGTCAACAGATAGGGTTATGCTCAGCGTACCCAGACCCACCAACAGCTGCATGATGTATATTTTGTTTTAGAATACTTTTTGCATGCACGTTGAATACTCACAGTATGATAGCGAGTCGCTGATGTAGAGCGTGAGCGCATCTTTTTATCGCTACATCCTCCCTAGTATATGATATGTTGCTGAAAGACTGATCGCACTAACCTTTTCTGTAGTATTGGATCTGTGTATGTTCATTGCTATATTTGACGGTATCCCTATCTCACTCCAAGGCCTATCTTTTTTCCAGAAACAAGTTTTGGAAAAATATGTTGAAGAGCTCGTCGAGGAGGAGAAGGGGCGTGCCGACGTGATGGAAGATGATGAAGGTGCGTTTGCCGTATGAAGATCAAATTTAAATTGCTTGTGTTGTCCCAGTCTCAGAAGCACTTACTTTATATTAATGTAAAACGCATAGAAACGTTGCAGATGTTAGATAGTTGTCTATTTCATTAAGGCATATTGTGAGCTTCTTTTCTGTGGCTATCTGCCTTGTTAAATTCACAGTTGTACCTTTGAAACCATTGTTCGTCCACCGAGGTCAATTCTATACCATGTCCCAAAGCTCACTTCTGTTCTTGAGAATCGGAATCACATCCGCAAAAATAAATTAATAATCACATCCGGACGTGCCATTACTGGCAGACACCAACAGGCCATATAGGCCTGATGACGACGATGACGATGGTGATGATGATGATGATGATGATGATGATGAGATGCAAAGCGATAGTTATACTGAGAATAATACTAAAAAAGATGATGAGAATGGTATTGATAAGGACAGAAGCAATGTATATATTGATGATGCTGATGCTGCTGCTGATGATGATGACGCTGACGATGCTGCTGCTGATGATGATGACGCTGATGATACTGCTGATGATGATGATGATGCTAATGATGATGATGATGCTGATGATGATGATAATGATGATGATGATGATGATAGTATAGACGCAGTCGACGCGGCCGTCATAAAGCAGTTGGACCAAGACGAGCAGAAACTCGACGTATGTAGTTTTGATACTATTGTCTACTTTTTTTTGTTTGCGCAAATTGGCGCTCGAATACGGCAGGTAGTAGAACGGCGGAGAATGTTATGTTGCTGTATATGATACTACCGGATATATCGAAAATAATATTCGTTATATCATAACTATTTCTAACACTCTGCATTCGCGCAAATGCACAGCAAGAACATGCGGAAGCAGTACGCGTAGGCGACAATGAAAAAGCGGAAAGTCTCGAGGAAGAGAAAATCGACATTGAAAACTCAAAGGGCACGGCTGGTATATTCTCCGGATTAATTGAGGAAGCGGAGGAGAAAGAGAAAGAGTTTGAAGGGGTATGATTGTTGTTGGCATTGTGTATTTGTGAACATAGGGATATTGTCGATGTCTTCAGTTTTAGGTATGTGTACGAATACGCACTCTAATATATACGTACGTATGCAGAATTTGGTTTATATTTCGCTTTACTAGATAGTCAATACAGTTCAGTTTATACATGTCTGTGCTCGTAATATTCTTTCCTAGATAACAGAAACATAAAAAAGGATATATACATACATATATATATATATATATATGTATATGTATATATACGTATATATACGTATATATACGTATATATACGTATATATACGTATATATATATATATATATATGTATATATATATATATACGATTGTATCCATGCATTCCCATCAATGAGTATATTTGAGTGTCCTTAAGGAGTGAGAGCTGGCGACGTTCCCAACAAATCGTGATCGCAGCCAATCCCAGGGATTGATCGCTGATTTTTAAGATTTGAGTACAGTCACTAGATTACCGTTATTTCACACTACACTCTCAAGCTGTCGGAATAGTAGGCATATAATAGATACTTATCACGTCCAAACAAGCTAATAGCATCCTCGTTGATGAATTAGGATACCGAAGATAATGGTACAGAAGAAGGTGACACAGTGGAGTCACTCGATGAAGACGGTAACTCACTTGGGCACATGGGTGAGATCAATGGGAAATTACACGTGGATAAGGCTACTGAGGAAGTGAAGATCAACGCAGCCCAAGTCGAGGTTTGTGCAAGCATCTTTACATTGGGTATAATTGACTGTGGTGAATTTTGAAGTACATACGTGTAAAAATTGCTGGTTCAATAGTTATTACCTTCTCGCATAGGCACGTTTGAAGGTGGATGAGGTTGCTGCGCACGATTCGACACGCATCATATGCGCTCGAACTTACATAGTCATTAATTTGCACGAGACGTACACCCGTATGCACGCACACGTGTGAGAACATACACATACTGCTGGCCTGTAAGACGTGCACCCGTATGCACGCACACGTGTCGGAACATACACATACTGCTGGTCGGATACCATAATCGTAACTCGCCCGCCATACGCATCCACGATAAAGTCCGGTATAGTCAGCGTATTTCCTCAGCAATAGAACAATATAGCATGGGGTGTATACCTGACCATAGTACCAATTGCATGCGATTATGTGCATGACATGTTGCCGTGTTTGTTAGGGTGATGATGGTGACACTGTGGACGACGAGGGCAACATCATAGATGATGCAGACGACAGTGAAACTGGTGCGGAGTCCGCAGAAGAAGTCGAGGAAGAGGTCGTTGCTGAGAAGAAAGACAAGGTTGGTGACTGACCTGCGTCACAGACCTGTATGCCACGATACGTTTAACTAGCCAACCAGGGCACAGTGATTGCTAGACTCGTATTCCAACTTGTGGATGGTCTGCTCTCAGTTACCTCTGATAATATATGCTACTATCCGTGCACTTTGCTTAAGCATGTTTCAGTATCGATGTGCTACATTCAGGTTGTACCGTTGACTATATTAACAAAGATGTTCTGTAGCACGCACAAATGTCAGAACATAGACATACTACTGGCCTGTTAGCATAATCGTATCTCATCCGCGAGTGTATACCTGACCATAGTACCAATTGCATGCGATTATTTGCGTGATATGTTGCTGTGTTTCTTAGGGTGATGATGATGGCACTGTGGACGACGAGGGCAACATCATAGATGATGCAGACGACAGTGAAACTGGTGTGGAGTCCGCAGAAGAAGTCGAGGAAGAGGTCGTTGTCGAGAACAAAGAAAAGGTTGGTGACTGACCTGTGTCACCGACCTGAATACCACTATACGCTTAAACTAGCCAACCAGTGCACAGTGATTGCTAGACTCATATCCCATCGCGTGAATTTTGGTCTGCTCTCAGATCTCTCTGATAACCTATGCTACTATCCGTGCACTTTGCTGATGCATGTTTCAGCATCGATGTGCTACATTCAGGTTGCACTGTTGACAAAGATGTGCTGTTAAGTCAAGTTTTCCCATGATTCCGTATAGTGCACTACATGTACATTACAATGCAGCAACCGTGATCATAGAGAAGACTTGCAACGCACTCACGATTCTCTTAACGTATATGCCAATGAACATCTATATTATTCCAGTTGGAGGAGGATAAAACGGAACAACAACAAGCCGCAGAGCACGTGCTGGAAGAAGAGACGGAGGTGTGTTAGTTTGTTAACCCATACTTCTTAGCGTATATGTGCCCCAACGAGTGTGCTGCATGCGCACGTTTCGAGCTATAGGATGTATAATTCACGTGTTCAAATACCACGAACAACTGTTAAGCTTGAAACACAGTTGCCTAATGGTAAAAGTCATTACTCGTGATGTGTACCTCGATATAATCCAGCACACGATAGAGCACATTGCACCTGTTTCGTGACGCGGGTCTTCTCATTCTACCTGTTAATATCAAGTACACACGATCAAGCACTCGGTCTGAGACTAAGAATTGAATCCAAGAGATAGTCAGTCTGTGAGTGTTGTGCTATGGTATCTAGTGCGTGAGTAATCAAGGTAGCTGACAATATGAATGTCAACCGAGTGTCATATATCCATCGCAACGCAGCTCAAAGCGATCGAGAAGGCGGAGACTCAGCATGAAGAGAAAGAACAGGCAGTACAAAAGCAAGAAGAGACAATTAAAGAGGAGCTCACAGCCGACAAAAACAAAGCAGCGGAGGCGGAAGCAGAGCTTAAAAAAATGGCTGAGGAAGTGCAGGAAGCTGAGGATGCGGATCCAATGAGTATGTTATGATATTCATAACGATGACTGTGCTCGTGTTTGAAGTAATGTACAGCAACAACTAACCTGTTGTTTCATGACTTGTCAACCCGAACGACATTTGTCCCATTAGGCCCATCGAAATCTTGGGACGATTGGCGGTGGTTCGTATGCCGGGGGTTTCTCGTAATATGCAATTGAAATGCAATGCCTTCAAGTATACGTTAATTAGATAACTCCCAATCATATGCTTGTTTTCGAATATAACAAGACAGCTGGCTATAATATAATTTTTCACACAACCACATTCGAATACTTTTCAGTGCCAATCACAAAGCGTTTAGTCGAAATATATTAGCGAATCCGGGGTATAGCTTGTCAGAAACGCAAACTGCGCTTTGTGCTGAGGAGCCACTTTTATGTCTGTGCATACAAAAATACAGACAAGTCTGAAGTGGCGGCAGAACGGGGAGATGCAGATACCAAGACGACCGAGGGAGAGACAGTCGCTGGCTCTGATGACACGGTAGACACCGAAGTATTGGCCGAGGAGATGGGTGATAGTGTTGACGACGTTCAAGTACAGCTCGAAGTAGAGAAGAAAAAAGAGAAAGCATTGGAAGACAAGTTGGAGGTATGTGTGTATAGGTATTCTAAAAATCTTTGCACCGATACAAAATATCCAATAACCTACATGATTATCAACTCACACTTTTCAATCGGATATGAATGATAAATTTGTAATAGCTCCTGGAAACCAAAGATAACAAGTCCAGAAGCATCAAAGCTGGAAAGATCAAAGGCGAAGCTCAGAGAACGGCTGGCAGTGTTGTGAGACAGAAAAGACACCAAGGTCACGTCCACGTGAATGAAGAGGTGGCTTATCTCAGCACAATCATACCACAAAGCACAGTCGACCACAAGGATGCAGTAAGTTTGCGCCGTTTCTGTCATATGTTTTGGGGTATAAAGTACTAAGGTGTCCTTTGTTTCTATACAGCACGTGAGCTCTGGGTCAATGCTCGGTGGGTCTATCAATCGCTGAACTCGCCAGAGCATTTGGTGAACGTTGCAACATATTATGTGTATTGGAGTGTAAGTTTTATTGAAGCCTGTGTAAGTAGTACTGATGAGGTACAACGAAGAGCATGGCGCAGGGCTTAGAGTATTTATGTATTTGAATCTCTGATTAAGACATATGCTTGACCTCTCAGTATTCATTTCTGTCTGGTCATACGTAAACATACGTAAAGGAAATTTGGAACGAGTTTTACGTGAATATAGTCGGAAACGAACAGATTTGATATTTTTATGGCGTTTGATCTCCATTGTCTGCCAGGAATCTCATGGTTCTCGAAACACTCCCTGATTTTTTAGACCCCTTTAGATACATCCGAACTCAAGTTCTCGGTCAAATTTACGAAGCCTGGGTACCACAAAGTCGTAGTTTTGGCGAAGGATGGCGAGGATGATAGCTTAATCGCGGCACACTACTTGGTGAAAGTACTTGAAGAATAGAAGACACGAACTACTCATACCATTCGTTTACCAACCGATGGAATGCTGGGCCCACTATTGGGCTCACATTCACGGAGCCTGTACACTGCGGAAAGGTGACACGGTCAGAACACAGCGAGAAGAAAGCCTCAACTATTCACATTCCACATGATATCAGGTAATTATAACGCCGATATGTAGAACGAAGAATAAAATAAGACAAATAATCAAAATGAGACTAGACAGAGTTCCACTTTCTATGTGATTGGCTTAAGTGCGGGTGAGGGCGAGGGTGTGGGGGGTGTCGCTTCGCTTAAGGGTTGATGCAACATGCAACGAGTACTTATTGATTCGGCAACCACTAAATCATGAAGTATAGCTAAATAAAAACCGGCATCAACAAGCTAAGTTCAGTATAGGTCAATCCCCTGTAGAATGCAAAGCTGAGTTACTTAGATACAACAATATATGCATCACATGTATTGTACGTAACTCAAGTGCTACATACCTACATACTAATTTAAGCATGCTGTAAGGCCGCTCAGCTCCGAGGTTTGACAGAAATCCAACCACATTGAAGTAGGTGCAGCATATATACACACCGACCCACACCAACACGCGTATGTATATACAGTACATAGAACAACTATTTATTTATATCAATCAAACTTTTACACACAGATTGAGGCCACGTCAATTTCTTTGCACCTGTTGCGGCATGTTTTATATACACGTTCTTAAATCATTGAAATCGAAATTATTTATACACATGTGTATGTGGTATTGTATTGAGCATAAACGTTAGTAACTTTAAAAATCGATTGATTTTGTCTCGTCTTATTAGGCTTTTGGCTCTTGGCTTCAGAATCCAGAGTCGCGGAGACCGTGGTTGGCGTGGTATGTGTTTTGTTCTAGTACAGAGTATTTATTTAGGATATAGCCCTCTAAATGACCTCTCGTATAATCCTGATCGTGAATCAGACCGTGGTTGGCGTGGTATGTGTTTTGTTCTAGTACAGAGTATTTATTTAGGATATAGCCCTCTAAATGACCTCTCGTATAATCCTTATCGTGAATAGCGATACAGTTGAGGTTTCGAAACCCAACACATACCATCCCAAATTCCACATATTTATAAACAAAAGTCTATATTGATTTTTTAACAGGACGCGAAAATTTGAATATATATGTTATGTTGAATATCATTCTAAATGAGTGTTTGTGCATATGTGCATGTATAAATACTACACGACGAGAGAGTGCCCTATTGAAGCGCATACTGACTAAGAAACAAAATATATATATGAGGTAGCACCATATTTAACTACATAATAAGTGCGATCAAAACAGGATCTTAACAGTACAGGAGATGGGTGAGAATAAGAACTTAGCTGACGCTTTACGCGTGTGGGTGTCTTCATTCCACGACAGTGGTGTGGTCACGGTCCCTACCGACACTTTAGAAGACCTCCGAGATGGTGTTGCGCTAATGGAGATTATGTGTGAGCTGGAATGTGAGGTGCTTCCAAAGGATGAGATCAGGTATCTAAGCGAATTTGCATTTGTTTTGTTTGAGGACGAATGTAGATGGTTTTTCAAGTACATATAAACTTTCACTTCTGTACGTATATATCTGAATACAAACACACACACATACACACACACACACACACATACATACACATACACACGCACACACACACACACACACACACACAC